ACCTTCGAGTGATCCAAAATTGATTGAACATAAATCTAATAACAATATTAGTAGAAAAATGTTTCTCTCTCTTGATCCTCTTTAGAATAGTTTATATTCAGAATAATTGATGGGTGATCTAAATATACTTTTATAGATAGAGAGATGATCAATTTCCTAATATAACTATAACTTCACTTGCCCATCAAAGTAAGAGACTTGGAAACTACTCCATCTATTGACGAATCAAATAATAACTTGTGCCTCAAAATATGGAACTATATTCTTGTTAAATCTATAATTCATATTGTTATAACACGTGGATCACTATAATGACTAAATAATTAAATTTAATATTATAATATATACATCTACAAGCAAATCGAGCTATTGATAAACTTGCATAACCGAGCATGATTTTAATTGCAAAAATAAATAAATAAATAATAAAGCATAACAAAACAAAAATCCATTGGGATTGTATGAACAAACATGTGGCTCATCGAGTTGGATGTGTGAATTTCTCTCGGCATTGCATAATTTGCATTCAATAGCTTGCTTGTTTATTTATTTTTTTTTTGTTAAGCAATATAATTTATATTTTAAATAATATGAATACTTCATCAAATTAAACATTTATCATTATCTATTTGACCTACCTAAAAAGTAACTCTCTGAAAATTTGAAAAGCTGTTTTTTTTTTTTTATTATTATTATTATTATTATTATTATTATTATTATTGTTGTTGTTGTTGTTGTTGTTTATTTGTTAAATTGAGATTAAAATAAAGGAGGAAACCTTTAGGAATAAGACCAATAAATAATGATAAATTAGGTGAGATTTGAAAGAGACCAATGCCCATTAAAAATTATCTTTTGGGTTGGATTTGATAGAAATATGATGATAACTTTGCCTTAACAAGGTATTTTTTTGGGTAGGTCCTTGACAAGGTATTGATTATGCTTTAAGCTGGATTTTAATGTCATCATTAAATCTAAATTAGGGGTTTTCTTAATTAGGAAAGTGAAGTAAAGTAAGGTAAGTTAAGTAACCTAGAAAGGTAAATTTATAGTTCTCTTTCTCTATGTGCAAGCATATGTGTATCTTTTTATTTAAAAATTACTATTTTAATTTACTTTTTTTTTTTGTGCCAAATGTTAGAAATAATTCAAATTATTTAATTTTAATTTATTTAATTTCAAATTTAAATTGCTCTTGGTCGTATCTCTCTCTCTCTCTCCCTCCTACTCTCCCACCATTACAAAAACGTAAAATTGTCACAATTTAGAATCATGATCTATTATTTATGAACATCTTTTTTTTCTTTTTTGACAAATCATATTCTTTCCAAACGTGATTGTTACGTGGCATTTTCCAAACGTAACTTTTACATGCATGGAAAAAAGAAAAAAATGTATCTCAAAGGACGATAGTTTTAGGTAGCGTATACACATTTTTAAATGAATGAAATATTAAGTGGACAGGAGTTAGAAAATATTTTATTTCGATTTTTATATTAATATAAACTTATAATAAGAGAGCTGTAGTCAAACCAATCTTAATAAGGTAAATTACACTGCCACCCTACGACATTTTTGTTTAATACGGATTGCTCTTCATATTTAAAATATTTTATTTTTCTCACTAAGATTTGTAATCTCATTACAAAACGTGATTGTTACGTGGCATTTTCCAAACGTAACTTTTACATGCATGGAAAAAAGAAAAAAATGTATCTCAAAGGACGATAGTTTTAGGTAGCGTATACACATTTTTAAATGAATGAAATATTAAGTGGACAGGAGTTAGAAAATATTTTATTTCGATTTTTATATTAATATAAACTTATAATAAGAGAGCTGTAGTCAAACCAATCTTAATAAGGTAAATTACACTGCCACCCTACGACATTTTTGTTTAATACGGATTGCTCTTCATATTTAAAATATTTTATTTTTCTCTCTAACATTTGTAATCTCATTACAAATTACTCTTTGAATTGCTGATGTCATGTTCTAAATTTTTTTAAATGACAATATTGCCCTTTTTCATAACTTTCTATCATTAAATTTTACTTGAATATATTTTTATTGAGTGATAACATATAAATATAAATTTTATATAGAATTTTCAAGCACAATAATATAGCTTAATGATGACATTTCACTTTAAAATAAAATATCCACAAATATTATTTATATTTAGAACAATATCATTATCACAACATTTTTATAATTTTTTTGTATAAATTTTTATATACGAATATAATTTTTCATTTTTATTTTCACCATATATCTAGATTAGATCAAATTAATCTAAATATGTTTAAAAAGTATAAAATTTGTATTAAAAAATTATAAAAAATAAAAAATCCATTGAAGCAAAATAAGAAAATGTATTGAATTTTTTATATTTGGTGAATTTATAAATAAAAAAATATAAAATATTATACTTCTTAAGTATATCTAGATTAGGTGAATCTAAAAAATAAAATAAAATAATTACTTAAAATATTTAAAAAATTCAATAAAATAAAAAAATAAGAAAAAAAACTCAATTTTTTGTGTAAGTTAAATCAAAGAAAATGATTATTATTTTTCTTGAAATGACATGAATAAAATATTTGTATTATTTTATTATTTTATATATATAAAGGTTGAGGGGCAAATATGTCATTTCAATTTGATAGAGGGGAAGTGTGATTTTTCAAATGTGATGGAAGAATCTATATTAAACACAAACTTTAGGGATGTCAGTGCAATTTACCCATCTTAATAATAACTTGACCGTTACTAATGTGTTTTAGATAAACTACTAATAATTCTTAATAGTTGGATTTCATTCTCATTAAAGTCTTAAAAAAGTTAGTTGTAATAAAATTGTCAGTAAAAATAATTTTTGTGAATTTTTTTTTTTTGTGTGTGCATATGTAGTTAAAAATTAATAATTAATGACTTTTTTTATCATGATTATTATTAGTTGTTACTAAAATTTACAATTAGTGACGTTTTTATGTGACAAATTTTTTAAACTGTAGTTGAAAATTGAAAATTAGTGACATTTTTTGTGATGATTTTTTTAACTGTCCCTAAAACTTATAATTAGTGATGTTTTTCATAACAATTTTTTTAAATTATCACTGAAAATTAACAATTAGTGATATTTTTTAATAATTTTTGACAAAAAACGTATTTAATTATTATTAAATTCATTAAAGAATAAGTCCACTTATGAAGACTTACACATAAGTTTAGGGGATTCTATTTACACCCAAAAAATCATTAAGTACTCTCAATTTCTAAATACATCTTGTTTTATCATTTAAAATTTTATTTTACTCTCATTACACCATATTATTTTTTCCAAATTACCCTCAAGGTAAGCCCAAATAATAAATAATAAACAAACTAAATTATTTCAAAAACTTTTCAATACAGAAAATAATTCTCAAATACAAAAAAAAAAAAGAAGAAGCCAAACGTATAAGCTCATAAGCATTATAAATACAGATAAAACCAAACTTTTACATAAGCATTATAAAACTTTTCAATACAGAAAAAAAAATTACATTATAAATTATCCACAAGAATACTCATGGAAAAGTAAAAACCAAACTTATAAGTATATAAGCATCAGGCACTAATAAAAAATAGTAGTTCTCAAATAATGTACTATTTAAATGATAATATAAAAACAACTCCAATAATATGTTATTACTAATCTAACTACTAGACCCTTTAATTTTTGTTAAAAAAAAGATATAGAAAATAATTGATGATGCTCTACAAAAATTGTGAAATCCCTTTATATAAATACTTGCCTCTTTTTTTATGGGTTGTTTCAAAAAACTATTTTAATTATTACTCTCATCCATTATTTGATTTTGTTCAAACTTTTTTTTTCCTAGGGTTTAGGGTTTTAAAATAATAAAAAACAATGATGTTGATGATGATGGTGAGTTTTGGTAGGGTGGATTGGAGTTTTGGAGGGAGGATAAAGAAAAAGAAGAAGAAAAAGAATAAGAAATAACTTTGATATCTTAGGAAAGAAGATACAGAAATTTGAATAAGAATAACTGATTATGGTGTACCATGAGGGGAAAAAAAATATTTTAAGATTTAATATATATTGTTCTTATTGGTAAATTCATATTAAGATATAATAAGAATTAAAATTTATGAATTTATATTAAACATAGTGAGACATATTTTGGATACAAATAAAATCTCCCATAAGTTCACAAGGATTTTTTTTTTCTTTTTAGTTAGTGTTGCCGATGGATCAAGGCCTTAAATTTTGGGCTTTGCTTGAGCTTGGGATTAAGCTCTCGAGCCCATATAAAATATTATATTGGTTGAATTCCCACTTCCGCTCTCCCTATGCCAACACTAATACTATGTTTTGTTAGAAAATTTGACGAGAGATTTAGAAAAGAAAAAAAAAAAAAATGTGAAATGTAAATAAAATATACCTATATTTTATCTAGTTTCACATACCTTTTTCTTTTCTTTTTCAAAATTCCTACTCAAATTCCCCAACCAAACACAGCGCAAAGGACCAAAAGAAAGAAAACTCTCTCTATGAGGGGTGTTTTTTTCGTTTTGACAAACGTTGGTGGAAATTTCTCTACGCCACGATTGGCAGGTGATTTGGCCTTGGATTTCAACTAAGGCAAAATTGGATCAGTTGATTACTTGTGGTTCTTTTGAGTTGAGTTTCAATGACTTCTCTATAACAAAGAAAGTAAATGAAAAAAAAAAAAAAGACGAGTTACAAACACACAAAATTTAAAGATTAACAAGACAACTTTATTACCTTTCAAAGCTCAGTACCTGAACTCTATTGAAAGACAATTTAAATTACATAGAGCACAAAAAATATGGCCTTTTTGTCGACAGAGATTGCAAAATATGGTATAAAAAATACCCAAATTAAAAATGATAATTTGTTTCACTTTACAAACCAAAAATAAAGGGGAATTTTATATATATATATATATATATTTATTTATTTATTTATTTATTTGCAATACAAAGCAAGAAAACCAGTCTCACATGCTAACTAATGGTTACTACCATGCTTTCTTAGACAATCCAGTATGTTACAATTCCATATAATTACAAACCATACATCTCATGGCTAATGGTGTGCCATGTTCCTTGGGATCGAATTGTCACTGTCTTCCTTGATAACAAACTTAAATTGACTTATTGTTTTCAGCAATAACTACAATTTGCTCAATACAGATCATCATAACCATCAAAAAGAAAAGGAAATTGTTATCTTGTAGATAGTCCCAAGAGGAAATGTCAAATTTTCCATTAAAGCATCCACCCGGGAATGAAGCCATTGGCAATTTGGGTAGGGGCTGCTGCATTCATCTCATCTGTACCCATAGGGTTGTATCTAAAACCAAAGAATTTGTTACATTAGAAAATTGTTCCAATCATAAAACATTAACGAGAAATAAGTCAAACAAATAGAACGAAAGATATACGTGGTTCGACAATGTGTTTGTTTCCATGGTGGAGAAGAGATCAAATCCATTATGTGAAATAAGAATTGCAAAGCTTTTACAATCAAGGCCGACCAAGATAATTTGATGCCCTCAAGCAACAACTTTCATTGAGGCTTTATATATTTTTTATTTAAAATTTATTTTCTCATTTTTAGATGAAAATGTACGAATTAAATATTTGTATTCAAGTTTTTCTAACTTATTATTTTCAATTGATAATATGATTAATCCACTTAATATTTCTTGTGAGATAGTAGATTTTTATCAATTTTAATTTAAAATAAATTATTTTTGTAGAAGCAACTGTTACATATTGTTAATAATATTTTGTAAATAATGAATGCATTAGAAATAAACATATTATTTATATATAATTTAATATATTAATTGGCCTACTTTACCCATTCTAAAATTTCTTTAAAATTATGAATTTTAAAACAAATCTAAACTATTTATATTAGATAAATCAAGTTATTTCATGTTATTTTCAAGACTACGACAATATATATATATATATATTCAAACTATCAGTGTGTAATGGTTTTAATTTTTAGAAATTAATAGAAAACAAAAGGTATATTTGTACATTTGGAATTACTCAAACCTAATTTCTATTGAAGAAATTGAAAGATAGATTTGGGTGTTTTGTATTTTTTTTATATTTAGTTTTTAAAGTCAACTAGTATAGTTCATTTCCGGCCTTTTTGTTTTTATTTTTTTTGTCTACTTCTTCATATGGACCAATGCTTTTTAAAATATATATGTGTGTGCGCGCGCACACATAAACTATATGATGCGTTACTTATAATGTTTGAGCTTTCAAAAAATTGGAGTCTTCTTTTCTAGCAAGCATTTTTTTTCACTTGGTGGATCCTTTTTTTTAAAAAAAAAAAAAAAAAAAAAAAAAAAAAAGACTATGTTGGCCTCAACTACGATATATAGGCTTTCAAAAAATATGGAGCCCTAAATATTAAGGACCAAGAGCAAAAAACTTTGTTGGCTTCATAAGTGAGTCAGCCTGGTCCCTTTACTCGGTGAAAGGCCTCTTATAATAAATCTCAGTATAGAGTAAAAATACAAGTCACCTCACAATCAGATTAGAGTTAAAATGTAGTCCTTGAATTTCAAGAGTGAAAGCATGAAAAAGTACCCCATTTGCAGCGTCGAATTGAGCCCCAAAGGCTGAAAAAATCCCTCGGACTGGGCGGGAAATCGGTTGTAATGCATGGTCTGTCCGCCAGCCTCCCATGATAATTGAAGAGGATTTTCTGCAGTAGTTTCCTCCAACTGATAAACAAAAATTCAAAGGCTATGAATCAATCTTTTTGGGAATTGCTCTACTTTAGTGATGTATGTTTTCTTTCCATAATCCTTATTTGCTTAATGTATTAATTATTTTGAGTTAATAATTTATTTTTATTTTTTTTTTGGCCAATAAAAATGAGTAGATCATAGAATAGAAGTGTGGGCAAACCCATTCCTAATTCCTGCAACAAAACAGGATGTACAAAGGCTTTCAGCGGGTAATCACACATTCAACCACAAAATTTTCAAATCTGAATAAAAAGTCTTTAATCCAAAATAATAATAATAAAATTACAGGTAAATTACCCCTTCCGAGATTTCAAAAAAATACAATAAACTCAACACGTTTGATATAATTACATTGATAATTCTATTAGCAAGGCTAATTAATGCAACTAAAATTAATGCAGAAATGTATAATATGGGGAAAATATACATTTTAATAGATATAAAAAAAAAGAGTAAATTACAAATACACCGTTTTTTAAAGTACAAAATGCCTCCCATGGTTTGGTAAATTACAAATACTTTTTTTTTTTAATTTTTATTTGACAGAATTAATAGGAAAAAAAATTCTTAACTGCTCTCCTGTACAATAATAAAATTACTTAAATTATTAATTAAAATAAATTTCTGACATTATTAAAAATTAATTAATTGACTTGATAATTTATTTAAAAAATGGGTTATTTGTTATGTAATGAGAAACTTTAAGGGGCGGGATGTAATTTTTAAAAAAACAGAGGCAATTTATATTTTAAATAAATCTCAAGGGGTGTATTTTTAATTTATCCAAAAAAAATGATAATATCAATTACTGATGAAAAAGAGACTAAGCATTATATGAATTAAAACATTAAGAAAAGTTGATGTAATTATGTTAAAAGTATAGAGCTTATTGTATTTTCTACAAATCTTAGGGGCATTCATTGTAATTTATGCTAAAATGAAATATGGCAAGTAGGAATTGAAACTTATGGTTGTTTGGGATGATCTAAATAAGTGCATTTTTTGTCTTTTTACGAAAAGATATGCAGAAAAGTATAGAGGTGATGTGATGAAAAAAAGATAAAAAGATGAATTATTTGAGATATGCCAAACTTGGCCTTAATATCTCCACAAATGAAATGATTTTCTCACACAATTATGTGAGGAGTTATATTGCAATTTATACACACTGTTCTTGTACATTATCCAATAGCCTGATAAGATATAATAATATGATAACCATCATGATCACCTAAACAAATTACTAACCACGTAACCAACAGATCAACGTTATCAAATATGCCCCATCAAAATGAAGCATCTCGTGGAAGGAGTTTCACCTTGTCACAAAGAAATTGAAACTCCTGTGGTATGAACATCGGCAATCTGATCCTTGAAAATAGGATTGGCAGTGAGGTAGGTAGTCCCGACATTGTCACACCACAAGGCTGGAGAAGTGGAAATGGACACACCAAGTTGATATAACAATGATTGTAGCCAACTTAATTCCGCAGCGGCATCAGCTAAAGCCTTATATTCAGATTCCGTCGAAGACCGGGCAACAGTGCGTTGCTTGCGAAAGGACCAAGAAATGAGATTAACTCCAAGAAAAATGGCATAACCACCAGTAGATTGATGATCATCAACACAACCAGCCTAATCAGCGTCTGAGTAGGCTTGCAATTGAAAGGCCGAGTCTTTGGAAAGAAAAAGACTATATGTAGCAGTGTGTTTGAGGTAGCGCAAAATACGCTTGATAGTCGTCCAGTGATTGTCGTAAGGAGAATACATAAATTGGCAAGCCTTGTTAACAACAAAAGCAATATTTGGACGAGTGAGTGTAAGGTATTGAAGGGCACCAACAGTTTGGCGATACCGTGTGGGGTTAGCAAAGGGTTGGCCACCATGTTGGCATAGTTTGATAGTGGAAGACATGGGAGTGAGGACAGGTTTAGAAGAGGCCATCCCGGTTTTCTATAAAAGATCAGTGATATAGCGACATTGGGAGAGGTAGAGACCCGCAAGAGTAGGGAAAACTTCAACCCTAAGAAATAATGTAAAGGCCCAAGATCCTTAAGAGCAAATTCAAATTTGTAACTTGGAAATAATGGAAGAAATACAAGACGAGTCATTTCCCGTAAGCAAAATGTCATCAACATAAGCCAGCATATAAACACAAACCGTGTTGTGACAATAGATAAACAAATAGGCATCAGACTTGGAAGAGCGAAAACCAACGATAAGCAAAAAGATAGGCAAACGGGTAAAGCAAGCTCGGGGAGCTTGTTTGAGATGATAAGGAGAAATGTGAAGGCGACAAACAAAGTCAAGGTGGGTAGAGTCAACAAAACCGAGAGTCATTAGGAAGCTTGTTTGAGACCATAAAGAGAAATATGAAGGCAACAAACAAAGTCAGGGTGGGTAGAGTCAACGAAACCGAGAGGTTGAACCATGTAAACTGGATCAAACAAGTAGCCATTGAGGAAGGCATTCTTCACATCAAGTTGACGAATGACCCAATAGTGCAACGGCTAAGGAGAGCACCGTACAAATGGTAGTTGATTTAACAACAGGACGAAACGTACCGAAGTAGTCTAGACCAGGCTGTTAATGAAAGCCCTTAGTTACAAGATGAGCTTTATAGCGATCAATATAGCCATCGGGATTCCGCTTAATGCGATAAACCCATTTACACCCAACAACATTGAACGAAGGAGATGAGAGAATAAGAGACCAAGTACCATTTGAGAGAGGAGATTTGGACGCAATAGAGTAAGAAGTGGGCTTACCAACATTATCTGCTAGGAAAATGCTAGGCATCAAAAAAAATGCACCACGAAAATGATCATGAACAAATCTCCATCCTTGTATTACACTTTGTAACTTATTGTATATCTAATCTAAGGGTCAAAAATTTTTCATGATACCTAACATTGCTCTGTCTGCTAATGTAATAACCCTCATCACTGCTTACCGATAAACATTGATTACCGTCAAACTGAACTGATTATGACTGATAATTGAACTGATTAAAGTACTGAACTGACTGACTGAAAACTGGAACTGAATTGACTGAGACTATCTGTTTAATTGTGCATCTATCTGTTTGATTGATTATTTGATCTGTTCGTGTTTTAGTGTTTAAACTGCTAATTGAAGGCCTTATCGGCGGCCGAACCGTGAATTGATTGATGTTTTACGATCATCATAATTAATGTGATTTTATGGTATAATTACCTGAAAACTGAGTAGGTATGATTAAATTAGATTAAAATGAGTTAAATTGTAATGGTTGCTGTAATTACACAAATGCCACTCTAGTGGCCCACTACTTGGACCTTCTTGAGACTTGATTTCACTTAGGAGCAACATTTGATCAGCCTTTTCCTTGAGTTCCACCGAGTAGAGAGAGAGATGAGAGCTTTAAGAGAGAATTGAGTTCATGTTTGTGAATTGGCTTGAGAGACTTCAAGGAAATTGAAGTGTATTTGCATATTTGAACTCCCTCACTCCTAATTCTACACCTAAGGTAGATCATTCATCTTCTTAATTGTGTCTTTGAGTTGTTCTTGCATGGTTCATGTCTAATTGTAGAGATAAGTCATGAATTGGTTCATTAATGGTGAATTGAAGCTCACTTCATGCATGCATGTTTGAATTAATGAGTTTTCGAGTTGAATTCATGGTAAAATGGTGCATGCATGTTCATAATTTTGTAATGGTCCATGTTTTCAACTTGTTTTGGGATCAAGTGGCTCCTTAGAACATCAAATTGGAGCTTCAAAATGATTTGAATTCATGCATGTTTGCATGTTCATATTGTTCATGAAATTGGTTTGAAATTGAGTTTGAATTAAACACCCTTGGGCTTTGATTTCTCAAAATTGAGCTTTGAACCGTGTTATTCTATATGTTTACAAGTGTTTTCTGGAAATTCAGCCCAAGAGGATCGGTTTTGATGCTTTTGAACCTGGGTTTTGGCTTGGAGGTGCAATATGGAATTCCCAGATTTTGCACTTCCGCTCGAGCGGGGGAAGTTCCGCTCGAGCGTGGAATCCGAGCATCCAGTATCTCTGCACTGTTTTACAGTCCGCTCGAGCGGAGGATTGGGCGCTCGAGCGGAGTCATGTGTCTCAAGCTCGAGCGGGCGTCGAGCGTCCCTGCGAGTGCGCTGAATGACTGGTCTGGCGGATGGGTGGACATTGAGTTGGTGGCAGATGAAGTTTGGATCAATGCCTAGCATGTCGTAGGGTGTCCA